CAAAAGGCCCACACCAAGACACATCATAATCAAAATGCAAAAGGTTCAAGCCAAAGAGAGAATCTTAAAAGCAGCGAGAAAGGAAGCTATTTACCTACAAGGGAGTTCCCATTAGGCTGTCAGCTGATTTCTCAAAATAAACTTTGCAGGACAGAAGGGAGTGGCAAGAAATATTCAGTGATGAAAACCAAGAACCTACAACCAAAATTACTCTATCCTTCAAAGCTGTCATTTAGAATCGATGGATATATAAAAACTTTCCCAGACAAGAAAAAGTTAAAGAAGTTCATTACTACCAAACCGTTATTATATGAAATGATGAAGGGTCTTTTTGAAGAAAAAGATAAAATTTATGAACAAACAAAATGGCAATGAATACATATCTATCAACAAAGGAATCTACAAACAAAATGGACAGTTGGAACAGAAACATTCTCATAGATACAGAGAACATTTTGTTGGTTGCCAGTTGGGATGGGGTTTGGGGGAATGGGTGAAAAAGGTGAAGGGATTAAGAAGCACAAATTCATTGCTAGACTGACAAACCTCAAAGGAAAGGGGTTGGGGGGGTGGGAAGAAATAAACCAAAGAACTTATATGCGTAACCAATGGACAGAGACAACAGTGTGGGAAAAGGGGGGATGGGCGCGGGAGTGGGGAGGAGCGGGTCAATGGGACATATGTAATACATTTTACATCCAACAATAAAAATTTGAAAAAACAAAACAAAACACCAGCCAGTGGCCACCCTACACAGTGTTCACGAGAACTTCTGACCTCCTTCATTGCTACTATGACAGACCAAATTCTAACATCTGGAACACTCAATGCAATTATGGTCTCTTATCGGATTACTACACAGGTGAACCGAGCTGGTGGGGTGCTGCCACGTTCTGCCAACAAAATTACTTAATTCTCTGTCCTGCCACAGAGCTGGAAAATGCTTTAGAGACTTGGCGACGGTTGGCCTGAAGCTGCCAAACTGAGTGTGAACCAGCATTGATTGCCTGAAAGTGGGTCCCCACTTCCACACAGAAAATGCCTGACGCGTTGCTTATGGAAAGGCTAAAACTGAATTATTCTAGACACACCAACTGACATCCCTGGTTGATGCACTCATTACCTACAGTCTGCTCATTGAGCTCATCACGTCTTCCTTGTAAGACTCTATGTGTCAAAAATCAATGCAACACCACGGTGAAACTGCTTGCTGTGTGGAATGAATACCCTTTCTCTGATATGTTCATCAGGAATTCTATTCAATGAAAACACATTCAGCATTGCTAATTGGGGACAAGACATTGATTTTAGAACCTGTAGTTTGTGCATTTGAGACTGTCTAATCTCAATTTGTACCAATTCACGTTAACTGGTTCAACAGTTCAACAGTAATTTAGCATGGTGAGGAGCACTTTGCTCTACTAAATGCAGCTGGCTGCAGTAATGTCTAGGTTATCTTGTTGGAAAGGTCTTGATTGTTGGCAACAGGGTGTGTGCGTTGACCAGTCCAAACATGAATAAAAGGCATGGAGTGCTAGCACACCTTTGAAAACATTTTGATACCATGGCATGAGATGCAGGCCAGTGTTGCAGCATTTTGCACTTCCTAGACCATTGCTTTTGGTTCTTCTGGAGGTCACATGAAGGATGTACTCCTACTGAGTTACAGCTTGTCAGACAATAGAGTTTAGTATAACTGAAAGTATGTAAAAGTATAGAGGTTTGCAAAGTTTTCCCCAGTAGAAGGAATGACATTGCTTGCATCTACTAACACAGCAACCGATTCCACGCACTAGGTGTACCCGTCTCTCAAAAATGTCAACCATATTTCTGCTGACTCTTTTGGGACGTTAGCCTTTTACCTATCATATCTTCAATGGATAATTAAAATGCTGTGAGAGAACACTGTGTGACGGTCTAAGTTTTACTTTCGTGGAAACCGTGCACTGGGTCATTCCAGTCCTAAGACTTTCTGCTTAGTACTGGAAAGGTGCAACACGGAGGCTTTCCTAAGCTGACACAAGACTGTTCCAGACAAAGAGAATTTCATGAATTCTTCAGGCATTCTTTGGTTATGCGAACAAGCTTCCTTGTTGTATTGCTGTTTCAACCCTTGAAGCTATCTATGGTAAAAATGCTGCCCGAAGTGCACCGGTACCGATATACTGCACGGTAATTCTATTCCCAGGGAGCAAGTTGGACTTTCATGATACAGTCACTTGGAGTTGGATGTGGCAACAATATTCTGTGCTAAGAGGACTTTGCCATATTCTTGCTTGGAGCAGTGTGACTGTGTGAGGATAAGTGCATGCCACAATGAAACACTGTACGGAGAAATGCTCAATGTGCCCACAGTTCAATGCACATCTTATGCACAGCGCCAGTTCCTTGAAAATATAAAACAAGACTGTAGTGCACAAAGATCATGTCACTACGCACTAATGCACTTACCGAAGGTCCATCTTTGTGCTCATCAGGCCTTACCCCCTGGGTCCAGGTTTCAGGAATTGAAGCAATGCAAGGGGAACATTTTGTCTGGAATGTACATGCATTCCCATTAATGGGAAGGTGTTGCAACATTCTTCACATAGTTGGTGTAGGAACACGAGGTAGGAACTAGGTGCCCCACATTTCTCCTGTTACCATTTTCTGGCAGTGTTCAACACTTTGTAGCAGTTCTGCTGCTACAACGCACCACGCACTCACTACAACACTAAATCCAGACTGTATGATTGTGATGGGCTTATCTGATTGTAGATTGTCTGGATTACACTGTGTGTCTTAAACAAACACGATCATCAGCTATTTGGATAGATTTAGCACTTTTACAAAGACAAATAAGGAGTTTCTGTTGGCAATAATAGAATCCCCAATGTAGGGGCCTGTTGGAAGTTTGACAACATTGTAAAGTGTTTCCCTTAGTTATTAGAGTAGGTACTGGAATCGGTTTTGTTCATACATTTGGGACGCTATGTTTTTTTGGGAGTGTGGATACTCTTCCCTTCAGGTATCAAACTAAGGCTCAGCTATTTAAACACAAACAGTACACACATCTACAAAGGGTTTATTAATGGCTTTTTGCCAAGTACCTTGATTATATGTTGTGGCTTAACTAAATTATCCAATACTGATGAGGAAAAGGTGTCATTGCTGAGACATTCAAAGGGGAACCCACAAAGTGCTATTCTACCTTAGTCTGCAATACATGACATTGTAGCTTGCTTCACCTAAGATATAAGTGTGAAAAGAATGGTTTGGTCGTCAGTGAAGCTTTCGTTGTAACTCCACTGCCTGTGACACACTTTTCAAAAATGCACCTTACTCTGGAGCAATGGGAAAGGTGACCAATACTTTATTCTGGGATTAGCAAATCTCTAGCTCATGGACACAATGAAAACCCGCTGGCTCTCGAGAACTAAACTGTAATGACGCTCTGCTCCAGCCTTGCTTCTTGACAACTGGTTGTACCTTAATGGTGCTATACACAAAGGAGAGTTTTGTGTGTAATGCAGGACTTCTGCGATATACCTTAAGGTTTAGGCATCGTCAAGACACATGTATCGAACACTTGCTAGAAGTTTGAAAATGAAACACTAAGCCACTTGAATCAAAGGATGCATTGGTAACGTTGATACAACAACATGTTAATATGCAGAAATTCCCGGTGCTGTTTTTGCGAAGATCACACTGTATCACAAAACAATATCTAGACTGGTCAGTAAAGACCTTGTTGGCAGAGCTTAAAAATGATTAAATGATGATATTGGGCTCATAGGTAAACCTTTCTTACATCTAGAACAACACATGGCTCTGAAACACCAAGATAATAAAGTGTCGGCTATGCAGGTATTCTGTGTAAAGTTAATGCTTTAACATCAATCCGGATGAAGACTGATGGCACATTAGGTACACAATGAGCATTTCACTGAGGATTACTAGAAATGCTTCATACAGCTTGAAATAATATTGTCTTGCCATTGTTGAAAAAGAGGATTCAAGGCATGATAACAGGGAAACTATTCAATTCCAAACAAAGAGTGTAAGGCTTTGAATAATGGTCATGGATTCACATGATTCAAGAGTACTTGGTTTCTTCTGTAGCAGTTTGGAATGCCTAATTCTTAGAACAGTGAACCAACATATGGTCTAGAATGAATTAATAGAAAGATTGATAACTACTGGTGTTACACATGTGCCATTCGTGAAACAATGCAACTGAACACATCTAAAGTGATGTAGTTTAACATTTGATGTGTACATCCAAGGAGTAAATACATGAAAGTGAAGACACTGACAATACCATGGGTGTTTCACATTGCATTTCTCTGTAAGTTAGAAAAAGAGGAGGGTTCTAGAGAAAAGGCACTTGTACAGTTGACCTGGGTATCAATTTCAATTAGTTACACACGAATTATTCCCGGTTTGCATGGCATAGTTTGCATTGGAGAGTTCTCCAGTGTTGCATGTAAATGCAGCTGAAGGCCTTCTTCCTATATGACAAGAAAAGTCAATTTGTACCAGAAGAAGAGGTAACTTTTCAACATGCTACTTTTCTTCCTTGGATATGAGTTTTTTGCCTGGAAGAGTCTACAAATCATCTCGATATCCAATAAAGGCTGGGCTGCAGAAATGAAACATATTGGTTAGAGTAATGTTCAGGTCATGGAAATCTATACCCTATTCAGTTCTACATACATTCTCTAAAGGTGTTACCAAATGAATCAGAGTCATGCCATGGATCCATGATACATTTCACTGTTTGTGCCGTTTTCCATATTAACATAAGATGTAGATACCTGTTTTTGGCAGAGAATTGAATGTGAACATTTATTCACAGTGTGAATTGCTGGAATTATACCATTTAATGAATGATAACTCCCGAACTTATGTTTAAAATACCCTGTGTCAAATTCAACCTATTTCTTGATATGTGACAGAGCAATCTATACACATATTCAAGATATTATAACAAGGATTCCAAACAAAGACTTTAGTCCTTGGAATAATGGTTGTGGATTCACATGTTTCAAGAGTATTTCCCAGAAGAACCTATGAAAATACACTGGATAATCAAAGGTGTGCATCACTGGTGTTCTTTCTCTGCAGAATAATATAATAACATTCAGTTCAAGAGCAGCATGGAAACTTTAATACGGTTGCAGTGGCAATTTGACTGTTCAGTGGCTCTCTGTCCTAAAAACAGTATTCACATAGATTAACTTCTTCACATACTGTCTATATATGGTGCAGAAGATTCTTGGGCTATGCCCACTTCACAGGTCATGGAACCAAACTAGTGTTCTGTTCTGCAGATTTGTGTTAGTACAGTTGAGGAAAGTATTGATTCAAGGTAATGTGGCAACCTAAAGTTTGCCTATGCCCTTATACATACTTCTCAACAGAGATTGTTTCTAGGAGCGTTTATACACACCAAACCAATTCCAAAAGGGCTGTGGTAGAACTCTTCAGTTCAGTTGAGCAAACTCACTTCCATGAAGCCTAGAACGTGAGGCTTCTCAAAACAAAAGCTGTTTTGGTTAAGTACCTAAGAAATGTCTGTTTGTTAAGGTGTAATCACACGAAAACCTAGCAGTGCACGTTTTTTTCTCTTGTTCCATACAGAGAGATACAAGCCTTGCTGGTGCAGTCTTAGATATCATGATTTATGGGCGAAACTCTGTGAGCCAGAGGCAACATTTATTCCGTGGCATGTTTTACATTGGGAAATTGAGTACCTTTGCAAGGAAAGTGTGTAGATACATGTTCTAGTAAAAAACTGATGGAATGATTGAATATTTCCATTTTGTTTCAGGAAATGCACAGGTCTTGGCAACAGTCATGTGAAACCCTTGAATAAATACACTCTCCTCGTGGTGTGGAGAGATCCAGTCTTCTCCTGGAAAGAACAACTAGGACAGGGCACACTGATGTGTAGAATCAAAAGTTATCCCTTTTCGTGTACTCTGTTGGTGATGGTTTCAAAGATTGGATAGTTTTCAACAACATTTCTCAAGGCGATACTTGGAATAAGGATGGTTTCTTTTGTAGCAGTTGTTTCGCCTAATTCTTAGAACAGTGAACCAACATAGGGTCTAGAATGAATTAATGGAAAGATTGATAACTACTGGTGTTACATATGTGCCATTCTTGAAACAAAGCAACTGAACACATCTAAAGTGATGTAGTTTAAACATTTGATGTGTACATCCACAGAGTAATTACATGAATGTGAAGACACTGACAATACCATAGGTGTTTCACATTGCATTTCTCTGTGTGTTAGAACAAGAGGAGGGTTCTAGAGAAAAGGCACTTGTACAGTTTTCCTGGGTATCAATTTCAAATAGTTACACACAAATTACGCCCGGTTTGCGTGGCATAGTTTGCATTGTAGAGTTATCCGGTGTTGCATGTAAATGAAGCTGACGGCCTTCTTTCGTAAATGAAAAGAAAAGTCAATTTGTACCAGAAGAAGAGGTAACTTTTCAACAGACTGCTTTTATCCCTTGGATATGAGTTGTTTGCATGGAAGAGTCTACAAATATATCGATACCAAAATAAGGCAGGGCTGCAGAAATGAAACATTTTGGTTAGAGCAATGTTCATGTCATGGAACTCTATACCCTATTCTGTTCTACACACATTCTCTACAGGCGTTACCAAATGAATCAGAGTCATGCAATGGATCCATGATACATTTCACTGTTTGTGCTGATTTCCATATTAACATAAGGTGTAGATACGTGTATCTGCAGAGAATTGAATGTAAACCCTACTCCTCAGTGTGAAATGCTGCAATTATCCCGTGTAAATGAATGATAACTCCCCAACTTATGCTAAAATACCCTGTGACAAATTCAACCTATTTCCTGATATCTGACAGAGTACCTCCATTATAACAAGGATTCCAAAGAGTTTCAGGCCTTTGAATAATGGTCGTGGATTCACATGTTTCAAGAGTATTTCCCAGAAGAACAATGAAAATACAGTGGATAATCAATGATGTGCATCACTGGTGTTCTTTCTGTGCAGAATAATATAATTACTTTCAGTTCAAGAGCAGCATGGAAACCTAAATATGGTGCAGTGGCAATTGGACTGTTCAGTGGCTCTCTGTCCTAAAAAGAGTGTTTTCATAAACTAATTTCTTCACATACTGTCTAAATATGGTGAGTAAGATTCGTGGGCTATACCCACTTCACAAAACCTGGAACCAACACTGGTATTCTGTTCTGCAGATTAGGTGTTAGGACAGTTGAGGAAAGTACTGATCCAGGTAATGTGGCAACCTAACGTTTGCCTATGCCCTTAGACATACTTCTCACCAGAGATTGTTTCTAGGAGCGTTTATACACACCAAACCGATTCCAAATGAACTGTGTTAGAACTCTTCAGTTCAGTTGAGGAATCTCACTTCCATGAAGCGTAGAGCGTGAGGCTTCTCCAACCATAAGCTGTTATGGTTACGTACCTAAGAAATGTCTGTTTGTTAAGGTGCAATCACACGAAAACATAGCAGTGCACGTTTCTTCTCTTGTTCCCTACACAGAGATACAAGACTTGCTGGTGCATTCTTAGATATCCTGAATTATGGTCAAAACTCTGTGAGAGCCAGAGGCATCATTCATTGGTGGCATGTTTTACCTTGGGAAATTGAGTACCTTTGCAAGGAAAGTGTGCAGATACATGTTCTAGTAAGAAACTGATGGAATGATTGAATATTTACATTTTGGTTCAGGAAATGCACAGATCTTGACAACAGTCATGTGAAACACTTGAATATATACCCTCTGCTCGTGGTGCGGAGAGATCCAGTCTTCTCCTGGAAAGAACAACTAGGACAGGGCACACTGATGTGTAGAATCCAAGGTGATCCCTTTTTGTGTTCTGTGTTGGTAATGGTTTCAAAGATTGGATAGTTTTCAACAACATTTCTCAAGGCGATACTTGGAAGAAGTATGGTTTCTTCTGTAGCAGTTTGTTTCGCCTAATTCTTAGTCAGAACAGTGAACCAACCTAGGGTCTAGAATGAATGAATGGAAAGATTGATAACTACTGGTGTTACACATGTGCCATTCTTGAAACAAAGCAACCGAACACATCTAAAGTGATGGAGTATAAACATTTGATGTGTACATCCAAGGAGAAATACATGAATGTGAAGACACTGACAATACCATGGGTGTTTCACATTGCATTTCTCTGTGAGTTAGAACAAGAGGAGGGTTCTAGAGAAAAGGCACTTGTACAGTTGACCTGGGTATCAATTTCAATCAGTTACACACAAATTATGCCCGGTTTGCGTGGCATAGTTTGCATTGGAGAGTTCTCCAGTGTTGCATGTAAATGCAGCTGACTGCCTTCTTTCCTATACGACAAGAAAGTCAATTTGTACGAGAAGAAGAGGTAACTTTTCAACACACTACTTTTCTTCCTTGGATATGAGTTGTTTGCCTGGAAGACACTACAAAGCATCTCGATACCAAATAAAGGCTGGGCTGCAGTAATGAAACATTTTGGTTAGAGCAGTGTTCAGGTCATGGAAATCTATACCCTATTCAGTTCTACACACATTCTCGACATGCGTTACCAAATGAATCAGAGTCATGCCATGGATCCATGATACATTTCACTGTTTGTGCTGATTTCCACATTAACATAAGGTGTAGGTACCTGTTTTCTGCAAGGAGTTGAATGTAAACTTTTGTCCACAGTGTGAAATGCTGGAATTATCTCGTGTAAATGAATGATAACTTCCCAACTTATGCTTAAAATACCCTGTGACAAATTCCACCTACTTCTTGATATCTGACAGGGTAATCTCCATTATAGCAAGGATGCCAAAGAGTTTCAGGCCTTTGAATAATGGTCCTGGATTCACATGTTTCAAGAGTATTTCCCAGAAGAACCTATGAAAATACAGTGGATAATCAAAGGTGTGCATCACTGGTGTTCTTTCTCTGCAGAATAATATAATTACATTCAGTTCAAGAGCAGCTTGGAAACCTCAATATGGTGTAGTGGCAATTGGACTGTTCAGTGGCTCTCTGTCCTAAAAACAGTGTTCCCATAGACTGACTTCTTCACATACTGTCTAAATATGGTGCAGAAGACTCTTGGGCTATACCCACTTCACAAAACCTGGAACCAACACTGGTGTTCTGTTCTGCAGATTATGTGTTAGAACAGTTGAGGAAAGTATTGATTCAAGGTCATGTGGCAACCTAACGTTTGCCTATGCCCTTAGACATACTTCTCACCAGAGATTGTTTCTAGGAGCGTTTATACACACCAAACCGATTCCAAATGAACTGTGTTAGAACTCTTCAGTTCAGTTGAGGAATCTCACTTCCATGAAGCCTAGAGCGTGAGGCTTCTCCAACCATAAGCTGTTTTGGTTACGTACCTAAGAAATGTCTGTTTGTTAAGGTGTAATCACACGAAAACCTAGCCGTGCACGTTTCTTTCTCTTGTTCCCTACACAGAGATACAAGGCTTGCTGGTGCAGTCTTAGATATCCTGAATTATGGGCAAAACTCTGTGAGAGCCAGGGGCAACATTCATTGGTGGCATGTTTTACCTTGGGAAATTGAGTACCTTTGTAAGGAAAGTGTGTAGATACAGTTTCTAGTAAGAAACTGATGGAATGATTGAATATTTCCATTTTGGTTCAGGAAATGCACAGATCTTGGCAACAGTCATGTGAAACACTTGAATATATACACTCTGCTCGTGGTGTGGAGAGATCCAGTCTTCTCCTGGAAAGAACAACTAGGACAGGGCACACTGATGTGTAGAATCCAAGGTTATCCCTTTTTGTGTTCTGTGTTGGTAATGGTTTCAAAGATTGGATAGTTTTCAACAACATTTCTCAAGGCGATACTTGGAAGAAGTATGGTTTCTTCTGTAGCAGTTTGTTTCGCCTAATTCTTAGTCAGAACAGTGAACCAACCTAGGGTCTAGAATGAATGAATGGAAAGATTGATAACTACTGGTGTTACACATGTGCCATTCTTGAAACAAAGCAGCCAAACACATCTAAAGTGATGGAGTTTAAACATTTGATGTGTACATCCAAGGAGAAATACACGAATGTGAAGACACTGACAATACCATGGGTGTTTCACATTGCATTTCTCTGTGAGTTAGAACAAGAGGAGGGTTCTAGAGAAAAGGCACTTGTACAGTTGACCTGGGTATCAATTTCAATCAGTTACACACAAATTATGCCCGGTTTGCGTGGCATAGTTTGCATTGGAGAGTTCTCCAGTGTTGCATGTAAATGCAGCTGACTGCCTTCTTTCCTATACGACAAGAAAGTCAATTTGTATGAGAAGAAGAGGTAACTTTTCAACACACTACTTTTCTTCCTTGGATATGAGTTGTTTGCCTGGAAGAGTCTACAAAGCATCTCGATACCAAATAAAGGCTGGGCTGCAGAAATGAAACATTTTGGTTAGAGCAGTGTTCAGGTCATGGAAATCTGTGCCCTATTCAGTTCTACACACATCCTCGACATGCGTTACCAAATGAATCAGAGTCATGCCATGGATCCATGATACATTTCACTGTTTGTGCTGATTTCCACATTAACATAAGGTGTAGATACCTGTTTTCTGCAGAGAATTGAATGTAAACTTTTGTCCACAGTGTGAAATAGCGGGTATAGCCCTAGAATCTTTTTCTCAATATTTGGATATCCATTTTCTCTAGAACACTGCTCTTGTTCTAATTCACAGAGATGTTCAATGTGAGAAACCCTTGGTATTGTCAGTGTCTTCCAATTCATGGATTTACTCCTTGCATGGAGACAACCAATGTTTCAACTGCATCACTTTAGACGTGTTCAGTTTCACTGCTTCAAGAATGCACATGTGTGACACCAGTAGTTATCAATCTTTCCATTGATTCAGTCTTGGCCATACGTTGGTTCACTGTTCTGAGTAAGAATCATGTGAAACCGACTGCTACAGCAGAAACCAAACTTTTTCCAAGTATCGCCTTCAAAAATGGGCTTCAATGCGATTCAATCTTTGAAACCATGAACAACACAGAACAAAAAAAGGGATAACTTTTGATTCTACACATAAGTGTGCTCTGTCCTAGTTGTTCTTTCCATGATATGACTGGATCTCCCTATAAAACGAGGAGAATGTTTGTTAAAGTGTTCATGTTACTCAAGATCTGTGCATTAACTTAACCCAAATGGAAATATTCATTCATTCCAACAGTTGTTTGACTAGAACATGTTTGTTCACACTTTCCCTGCAAAGGTACTTAACTTCCCAAGGAAAAACATGCCACTGAGTGAATGTGGCCCCTGGCTCTCACAGAGTTTTGCCCATAAATCAGTATATCCAAGACTGCACCAGCAAGTCTTGTGTCTCTTTGTCTGGAACAAGAGAAAGAAACTTACACTGCGAAGTTTAAGTGTGATTACACCTTTACAAATGGACATTTCTGAAACACTTAACCAAAACAACATATGCTTTGAGGATCCTCACGCTCCAGGCTTCATGGAAGTGACTTTTGTGCCACTGAAGTGAAGACTTCTAACACAGTTCATTTGGAATAGGTTTGGTTTGTATACACTCTCCTACAAACAAACTAGAGTGAAAAGTATGTCTAAGGACCTATCAAAAGTCAGGTTTCCACATTCCCTTAAATCAATACTTTCCACAACTGGACTAAGAACACGTAATCTGAAAAACAGTACAACAGTGGTGGTTCCATTTCGTGTGAAGCGGGTATAGCCCTAGAATCTTTTTCTCAATATTTGGATATGATTTGAAGAAGGTTGTCTATTGGAACACAGTTCTTTGAACACAAGTGCATTTTCTCTAGAACACTCCTCTTGTTCTCATTCACAGAGATGTTCAATGTGAAAAACCCTTGGTATTGTCAGTGTCTTCCAATTCATGGATTTACTCCTTGCATGGAGACAACCAATGTTTCAACTACATCACTTTAGACGTGTTCAGTTTCACTGCTTCAAGAATGCACATGTGTGACACCAGTAGTTATCAATCTTTCCATTGATTCAGTCTTGGCCATACGTTGGTTCACTGTTCTGAGTAAGAATCATGTGAAACCAACTGCTACAGCAGAAACCAAACTTTTTCCAAGTATCGCCTTCAAAAATGGGCTTCAATACGATCCAATGTTGAAACCATGAACAACACCCAACAAAAAAAGGGATAACTTTTGATTCTACACATAAGTGTGCTCTGTCCTCGTTGTTCTTTCCATGATATGACTGGATCTCCCTATAAAACGAGGAGAATGTACGTTAACGTGTTCATGTTACTCAAGATCTGTGCATTAACTTAACCCAAATGGAAATATTCATTCATTCCTACAGTTGTTTGACTAGAACGTGTTTGTTCACACTTTCCCTGCAAAGGTACTTAACTTCCCAAGGAAAAACATGCCACTGAGTGAATGTGGCCCCTGGCTCTCACAGAGTTTTGCCCAAAATTCAGCATATCCAAGACTGCACCAGCAAGTCTTGTGTCTCTTTGTCTGGAACAAGAGAAAGAAACTTACACTGCGAAGTTTAAGTGTGATTACACCTTTACAAATGGACATTTCTTAAACACTTAACCAAAACAACATATGCTTTGAGGATCCTCACGCTCTAGGCTTCATGGAAGTGACTTTTGTGCCACTGAAGTGAAGAGTTCTAACACAGTTCATTTGGAATAGGTTTGGTTTGTATACACTCTCCTACAAACAAACTAGAGTGAAAAGTATGTCTAAGGACCTATCAAAAGTCAGGTTGCCACATTTCCTTAAATCAATACTTTCCACAACTGGACTAAGAACACGTAATCTGAAAAACAGTACAACAGTGGTGGTTCCATTTCGTGTGAAGCGGGTATAGCCCTAGAATCTTTTTCTCAATATTTGGATATGATTTGAAGAAGGTTGTCTATTGGAACACAGTTCTTTGAACACAAGTGCATTTTCTCTAGAACACTCCTCTTGTTCTCATTCACAGAGATGTTCAATGTGAAAAACCCTTGGTATTGTCAGTGTCTTCCAATTCATGGATTTACTCCTTGCATGGAGACAACCAATGTTTCAACTACATCACTTTAGACGTGTTCAGTTTCACTGCTTCAAGAATGCACATGTGTGACACCAGTAGTTATCAATCTTTCCATTGATTCAGTCTTGGCCATACGTTGGTTCACTGTTCTGAGTAAGAATCATGTGAAACCGACTGCTACAGCAGAAACCAAACTTTTTCCAAGTATCGCCTTCAAAAATGGGCTTCAATGCGATTCAATCTTTGAAACCATGAACAACACAGAACAAAAAAAGGGATAACTTTTGATTCTACACATAAGTGTGCTCTGTCCTAGTTGTTCTTTCCATGATATGACTGGATCTCCCTATAAAACGAGGAGAATGTACGTTAAAGTGTTCATGTTACTCAAGATCAGTGCATTAACTTAACCCAAATGGAAATATTCATTCATTCCTACAGTTGTTTGACTAGAACGTGTTTGTTCACACTTTCCCTGCAAAGGTACTTAACTTCCCAAGGAAAAACATGCCACTGAGTGAATGTGGCCCCTGGCTCTCACAGAGTTTTGCCCAAAATTCAGTATATCCAAGACTGCACCAGCAAGTCTTGTGTCTCTTTGTCTGGAACAAGAGAAAGAAACTTACACTGCGAAGTTTAAGTGTGATTACACCTTTACAAATGGACATTTCTTAAACACTTAACCAAAACAACATATGCTTTGAGGATCCTCACGCTCTAGGCTTCATGGAAGTGACTTTTGTGCCACTGAAGTGAAGAGTTCTAACACAGTTCATTTGGAATAGGTTTGGTTTGTATACACTCTCCTACAAACAAACTAGAGTGAAAAGTTTGTCTGAGGACCTATCAAAGGTCAGGTTTCACATTTCCTGAAATCAATACTTTCCACAACTGGACTAAGAACACGTAATCTGAAAAACAGTACAACAGTGGTGGTTCCATTTCGTGTGAAGCGGGTATAGCCCTAGAATCTTTTTCTCAATATTTGGATATGATTTGAAGAAGGTTGTCTATTGGAACACAGTTCTTTGAACACAAGTGCATTTTCTCTAGAACACTCCTCTTGTTCTCATTCACAGAGATGTTCAATGTGAAAAACCCTTGGTATTGTCAGTGTCTTCCAATTCATGGATTTACTCCTTGCATGGAGACAACCAATGTTTCAACTACATCACTTTAGACGTGTTCAGTTTCACTGCTTCAAGAATGCACATGTGTGACACCAGTAGTTATCAATCTTTCCATTGATTCAGTCTTGGCCATACGTTGGTTCACTGTTCTGAGTAAGAATCATGTGAAACCAACTGCTACAGCAGAAACCAAACTTTTTCCAAGTATCGCCTTCAAAAATGGGCTTCAATACGATCCAATGTCGAAACCATGAACAACACGGAACAAAAAAAGGGATAACTTTTGATTCTACACATAAGTGTGCTCTGTCCTCGTTGTTCTTTCCATGATATGACTGGATCTCCCTATAAAACGAGGAGAATGTACGTTAAAGTGTTCATGTTACTCAAGATCTGTGCATTAACTTAACCCAAATGGAAATATTCATTCATTCCTACAGTTGTTTGACTAGAACGTGTTTGTTCACACTTTCCCTGCAAAGGAACTGAACTTCCCAAGGAAAAACATGCCACTGAGTGAATGTGGCCCCTGGCTCTCACAGAGTTTTGCCCATAATTCAGTATATCCAAGTCTGCACCAGCAAGTCTTGTGTCTCTTTGTCTGGAACAAGAGAAAGAAACTTACACTGCGAAGTTTAAGTGTGATTACACCTTTACAAATGGACATTTCTGAAACACTTAACCAAAACAACATATGCTTTGAGGATCCTCACGCTCCAGGCTTCATGGAAGTGACTTTTGTGCCACTGAAGTGAAGACTTCTAA